GAGTTGCCGCCATGTGATTGGCTGATTAGAAATTAAGTGTTAACGAGCAGTTGGACAGGTGTACCTAATAAAGTGGCCGGTGAGTGTACATTAAGTAAAGAGCTTTAACGTGTCTTTGTTTGTGACTTATAGGATAAATCCAGTGGGCAGAAAATGTTGTGTCATGATGTATTGTGATTGTGTGTTTRGTGTCACATAAAGAGGGACTTTTAAACCAATCTTACTTCTTCACGGTTTCATTTGCAGCTGTCTTCTGGTTGTCCTTATCTTTGGTCTTGGGCTGAAAGAATGATCTGGAGAACAAACAAAGGTGGAACCAAGAGGATTAAAGTTGGTGTGTTTTATGTTGGCACATCATTTCTATTACATTATTTAACGGGGTTAGTTATTGGTTTAAATAACAGAAGCGACATCACGGATTTGCTCTCCTATAATGAAGCTTTTATGTTTCAAAGAAAGTAGCTAAACTGTTAAAGTAGCTAGTTTAAGCTAGCACTAGCATAAGTTAGCTACCAGCGCTATWACTAAACTTTAATTTCCATCTCACAAAGCCCCCTTTCAAGGCACTTTAARCCCCCCAAACGCAACTTATGACAAGTAAACGTGGTGATTTAGCTGCTTCGCAAACACAAACATCGCACCCAGCTAGCTAAACAGAAACTCCCATGTCGGATCGCTACTTACGCGATGCTCCGTTGCATGCTGTCTGTAAATGTTTGACCTGATAATGAATTAAAAGGAATAAAGCCCGGCAAAGAATTAAACTTATCCGCACAACGAGGCACCAACTCCCGCGCTACAACACGGTAAAAATCGCTTGTGAATATTCGGCGCGAAAATGACATTGCAACCAAAGATCTTCAAAATTAAAAGAAGAGCGTACTTGTAAAAAAAATGTGTTTCCGGTATTAAACTTAATCGATTAAAAAAAGCACAAAAGCTTTCGGGGGAAAAAATAATTATCACGATTAATACTTAATAATAAGATACAGTAAAAATAAATCCAAAACGATCATATGAACCATAAGTAAAAGTTTCAAATATGTACAAATGCTCTATCAAAGCCATGCAAACCRTGACAAAACATATTCAAAACAATATAGAACATGATTCTTCTCATTTTCAGTCCACTTTATTCATAAATTAAAATGTCATTATAAAATGCATGACAAGTGAGAAACAAAAATAAAAATAATTGATCCTCTAGTGTGGTACCAAAAATAGGATCAGAGTGAGACCTCTTCTTTACAATCCCTTCCCTGAAAAAGAGCTTCAGCTTTTCCTGCCTATCAGAGCCTCTGCTGCCCCCTGCAGGTTGGAGTGAGAACTGCAAGAACCAGTGGTCCTGATGCTGCAGATATGATAAACACGAAGGCGCCTTGAAAATCTGTCAGTTTAAATGCATCATTTATGGGGCTCTTATCACATTTATGAAGCTCAAAGCAGGAAGTGAAAATGCAAGAAACTAAATAATGTAAGCTGAGCTCACTGTTTTATTTACAACAGCACAAGTCCCATGTTGTTTATTGTTTACAAGTGCTTTTCCCCGGCTGGACTGTGAAAAACTGACAGAACAAAGCATTTCAAGACAGACCCAAATTCAATAAATAGTTTAAAAACATGTAAATATTTTAAATCGCATGAAGTTACAATAAACTACAACAAAAACGCAAACACAAAAAKCTCCAAAATAAACAAAATAAAGATAGTGTTTGAGAGATGTGAGGGAGAAAAGTAATCCATGTGTCTGCTTTTCTTCAGTCTGCATCTTTCCTCTCTCTGCTCGCCTCTTCTTGATGTTCAGGCTGCTTCTCTCCTTCGAACACGTTCCAGCCGACGTGAGTCCCATCCCACCCCGCGGAGCTTCTGTGTGACCAGCCGTGAGCGTTCACGCCCGATTCCCTCGTCTGTCTCAGGCTGACCCCCAGATGAGCCGCAGCAGAAATGAAGGGGAAGGGGCCGTGGAGGGCCCGAGGCGATGCGAGAGGTTTGGGGAGGCAGCACGGGGGTAAGAAGGGGTGAGGCGGAGGCTGCACGGCTGTCAGGAGACAGACGGAGAGTCACGTCAGTCAGCGGGCCTCCACCGRGACACGCTGCGCTCAGATCAGACAGGATTTTAATTTCTCAGAGAATTCATGAGTTTTCCAAACTCTCAAACACTGAGGTGGCTTAAAGTCATTCAGAGTAAAAAAAAATGGTTCAAAAGAAATGTGAGATTGTTTTTAGAGCAGAAAACATTAAATGTGAAAAAATATGTCTCAAGGAATGTTTTACAAAAAAAACTTTATTTCAATTAAATTACAAAAATGTAAATGAAATATTTTGTGAATTTCTTACTTGTTTTTTTTTTTAACTGTACTTTGACTCAATCACGATACTGAGTGTGCTGTGACTTTTAATATTTGTAACCTTTACATTAATTATTTTAAATTGTTCACAAATTTTTCCCCCATATAAAAACTGTTTTTCCTGAAATCGACTTTTTGACTTCTTTGGTCCTTTTAGCTTTTATAGTTTTGCCAATTTTAGCATACAGTTATGGTTTTACTAAKTGACACTTTTGGCTTTGCTTTAGTTTTTGGCTAATATTTCGCAAATGATGACTTTTATCTAATTTTACCCTTTAGATAAATTTAGTTAATTCAGCTTTTAGCTTATTTTAGCTTTTAAACTTGTTTTGTTATTCAGGCTATAGCTTTTTGATCATTTGAGATTTCATTTATCATTTTGTATATTTGAGCTTTTAGCTACCGTTTTGCTAATATTAATTCTAATAATCAATTTTAGGTACCATTTTCTGAATTCTGCTTGTTTTATACTGAATGTTTTAACAATTCCAATTCATAAATTTTGAATAAATTTGTGATGCTGTGGCATTCAAAGTAGCAGCTGTGCCTTTACATTCTTTTTTTCTTGATTATATGCAAAATATAAAATAATGGTAAAATAAAAAACAAGTGAATGAAATAATTCACTATTACCCACCCATAAAAAGTATCCAAKGCCAAAACTAAACTCCATAATTTCTCAGGGTCCCTGAAAATACTGACTTATAGAAACGTCAACAAAATGCAGCTCCTGCAGCTAAAGAAGCTCCAGAAACAGAAATGTGAGATGCAGCAAAGGGGTGAATATGATAAAAATGCTCGGTGTCGCTGGTGTTTCCACAACAGTTAAAATCAGACTAAAATTAGTGTTTTTGTTTGTTTTAATTAGATCAGTAATTCCTAGAAACAAAATCTTATAAATTAATCTTTTAAAGCCAGTTTCTAAAACATTCCTGGTTTTATTGCAAAATAAAACCAGAACTTGTATCGAATGTTTCTGAACATTAGACCATGTAAAACATTAACACTTATTTATGTTTCATTTACTTTAGTATTTACATTAATCAAAGAAAAAAAACTCTCTGAAGCACGTCTCTAAGTGTCAGTCTGTCAATAATCTTCAGGTGTGGCTGAACAGCGCTGCTGTGTGTGTGTGTGTGTGTGTATGTGTGTGTGGTGGGGTCTTACCTCTGTCCATCAACGAGCCCGCTCCTCCACAGAGAGGCCGGCTGCTCTCAGGGAGGAGGAGAGGGAGAGGAGCGCGGTGGAGCAGCTGGTGGGTGGACAGATGGGAGGACGAGATGGAAGAGATGGAAACATTCAACACAAAACACTCCCACTCTGCTCCAAACATTAASAACATCAGATTTTAGGTGCTTTAGGTGTAAAACATCGATGTCAAAGTAGAACACTAATTCCACAAAATATATATATATATAAATGTAAACAAAAACAAAACACAGAAATTTGAAAATTTCCTAAACCGTTTTTTTCCACAATCAAATTCAGTATGTTTAAGAGACTGTATTTTTAGAAGAGAATATTCAGATTTAGAATAAAGAAAACAGAGAAAAGAAGAAAGTTCTCTTTTCCAGTGAAGATCTTGCAGATTTCAGCAACATAATATTCAACCACCACTGCACCCACTCCTCCTGTCCTGCGGGAGTCGAGGCCTGGTGGTCCAACGGTCCAGCAGTTGATGTCACCAGGTGATTTCACCCAACACAACAAGCAAACTTTTTCAGAACTGTTTTTTCCCTAATTTCTCCTCAAATAAACAGGAAATTCACTTATAAAT